TTTTGTATTACTGTTGTTTTTCTTTTGAATTAATTCATTTGTTGAATGTTTATAATTTTTTGTTTTGTACGTACCTTGCTTAAAATCTTCGATAATTTTTCAAAATGTAAATAATGTTGAAATGCTGTTTTTCTTCTTATTTGATGGTGATTGTTAGTAAAGGTTCTGGTCATGTTTTCCCATGTTTTTGGTGTTCATTTTTTGAGAATCAGACTGAGCGTCGTTGTCTTAAAAATGGCAGGTGGAGAGATTTTATGTGTGTGTCGTTTCGGTGATTGAAGAAGATGAGGGCGGAAATGACGTGTTCATCTGTTGGGATTTGATTTGTTCAATTTTCGGTTTGTGCGCGCATGTGTATTTAATTTTCTTTCTACTGTGTATTGGGCTTTGTTTGGGGAATATGGGTGTTATTGTGTATATGTGGGTGGTTATAAGATTGTATGGTAAATTTGACTCAAGTTGTTTATGTCCCGTCTGTCTTTCATTGTGTTTTGGTTTATTTCAATGTGAATCATTTCTTTCACAATTCTTTTGTTTAGGTTTGGTTCATAGGCTGAAATTTTGGATTCTGCAAAATTGGGGTTGTGATGTCATGCCTGTATATTGTTTGTTGCAGTCATTGCTGATTAACGGAAAAACAGATTTTGAACATTTTTTTTAAACAGATTGCATGGAATGCTATATATCAGATTGGATTTTTTAAATTGGGGATCTCTAGTTTTGAGAGGGGTGTAATATTGTTTTAGAGTGTTGTATGCTTTGAAGCTGACGTCAAGATTGTGTTTGCTAAGAATGTTTTTTATGTTGTCGGATATTCCTTCAATGTAAGGAAGTGAGATGTATTATTTGTTTGTGTTCGGGGTTTTTTGACAATGACAGATAATAATTAATTTGACTGACTCAGCGGGGACTCGAACAATTCAGAATAGCGCCATCTTGGGAAAACTCTTGTAAGTATCGTTAAAAACAACAGGTGGTTCCTTCAAAAAGTGCTAAACAAAATGTAATCGTTGCAAACACCAGGGTTTCTAGGAATCTTAGCTAAAAGACCACCAGGGCACAGTATAGCTACAACAGGGAGTCAATTTTCTAGATCGTCTGTTCATCGAACGTATGCATTCGTGACGCAATGAGTGAGCATACTTTCAGTGAATAAATCATATGTTCAATTGGACATCGGACAGTTCGAACCAAAGTTACAGTTCTATGCCAAAGTTTTTGGTTTTAGTCCTTTAGTTAAGGGCACAGGTTAAAATACAGATGCGAAAGCATTGATGCCGCCTTTGATGTTCGATGGCTCAAAATTCGTAACCTTGAATAGGATGTGTATACTACCTCGACATACACGGAGAAAAAGGTTTGGTTGATTTCAACGATTTTCTCTTAAAGTACACTGAAAAAACATTCCCATAAAATTTGAGGCTATTCATCGCAATAAATTAAAATATATTGACAAATAATTATGATTATTTTTTTTCTAAAAATGCTTGGGTATCATTACTTTTCCATTAATTTTCAGTATAAATACATAATATGCCCGAAAACAACACTGTCATCCACTACGTAGTACGTATCACACTGTATCCTGCATCAGCAAACCTCAAACGCACCGCACACGAACCAATAACGAAGAAACCATCAACCCGAAATAATAAATGCCATACGTTTGATACGTTGCAAGGGAGCCAAGCCTCCGACCGCATTAAAAAACACAAGTTCCGCGAGACCGATCCAGCCAGCGACATGCAGAAAGTATAGCGTTACAGGAGGCTAGCCTCTAGTGGGTCTTCGTTAGTGTACGACTGCGTTTGTTTTTGATTCAATTATTCGGACGGGATGCCGTGACGGACCGGGACTGAAAAATATTTCGGAAAATCGTTTTCGGTTTCTTGATAATACTTTTTATTTGTGTATAAAACAGGCAGTGCCTCTTGGTAATTTGTTTAATGTGTTTTTGAAGTGTTTTCTTTCAATTTCAAGAGGTTTTCAAGTTTCCACTTTTCGGTAAGTTTTTTTTTCCATTTATTATGGATAAGTTGAACGAAATTAAAAAATCTGACGATATAGTCGATTGGTTGCTGACAAATAATTTTAAGTCTTCATGATAATAAATTTCACATTATTAAAACTATGGGAAGGCCTCAACCAAATTTGATTTCAATTGAAGCGTCAGATAATCAACAAAATCGTGGATTTAATATTAGTTGGTACGATAAATGCGATTGGTTAACCGGCTCCATCAAAAGTGTAATGTATATGGCTGCTACGCCACTGATATAGGGCTAAGGGCGCATGCCCGGAGAACAGTTAGGAAACGCTGGGGGAGTCAGTATCAATCGGCGGCTGTGGTTGTATCTATGAGATGTACAAAATGTAATATAGTCGTACTCTTTGTATGTATATATGTGCGTATGAATATCTTTGGATATTATCGATGTCAATAAATCTGTATCCACCCGAAATATCAACAGCCTTATTTCCACCACCACCTACATAACAATTGGCGACGAGGATAAAGCAAAATTTCGTAGAAAAGGAGATGATGGCGACGGATACACGTGTCGGTGTCATAGGACAGGTGAACGAATTCAACCCGGAAATGGATTGGAATGGATTGGATTATCTATAGTGAAAAATTGGAACAGTATTTTGAAGCAAATCTCATAAAGGAGGAAAACATAAAAGTGGCCATGTTATTAAGTTTGATTGGTTCGGCAACTTATAAACTCGTGAGAGATCTTGCGTTTCCAAAACTGCCAAAGGAAAAGACTTATAAAGAATTAAAGGACCTATTAGCAGGACAATTCACCCCTATAGTATCCATATTCCGTGAAAGAATTAAATTTTTCAATGTCATGCAGCAAGAGGGCGAGTCGATTAAAGATTGGTATGCCAGGCTAAAATCCTTAGCGGTAAACTGCAAATTGGGTGCAGAGCTGGAATTTCCACTAAAAAATAAATTCATCTGTGGATTACGGAAAGGTAGGATCCTAGACAGGCTCTGTGAAGAGAAAGAAGACATCACTTTAGAAGCGATCGTGAAATTAGCAGTTCAAAAGGAGGATGTAGAGACAGTCTGCAGCAACGTAAATTGGATGGGCCGCAGCAAAAAATGGAGTGAACAGGAACGACCGGCAGTAGCAGCGCGGAGCAATCATGGAAAGGACTGTTCAATGCGGAACACGTCAAGTATGACGTCAGAGCAGCATCAAGAAAACCAGAGGAGATGGCAACCCCGCCGAGATGTCAAAAGAGAAGGACAGGAGATTGACAGGTGTAGTGTTTGTGGTCGTAAACATAAAGGGTTGTGTAAGTACGTCAAATATGTTTGTAATTTGTAATAATTGTGGAAAAATAGGACATTTGGAGAGAATATGTAGAATTAAAAGACAACACTATCTGGGAAATGATGTAAATAAAAATGATAGTATAGGAAAATCTCATGAAGAAATGTATGATATGTTTANGCAAATCAGAGAGCAAAGAAAGGTCATTGCTAGACCACTTTCGAAGTTCGAAGCCTCCTCTTCGTAATAAGGTAATAATTTCAGTTTTGAGTTGGTGAGCCTTTTCAAAGGTAGGAATAGACATCACGAAGTCGTCAATATAGCAGGTGGAACTGAGTGCGAGTGAAGCGAGCGGAAAAGTACCACCTTCATCTTTAACTAATTGTTCAAGTGTTCTGAGCGCAAGAAAGGGCGAGCAGTTCATACCGTAAGTTACAGTACGAAGACGATAATTTTGTAGCGGTAATTTGGGATCAAATCTCCAAATGATTCTTTGAAAATCTCGATGAGAAGGATTAACAAGAATCATTCTATACATTTTTGTCACATCCATACACAATACGTAAGGATGAATGCGGAAATTGACGATATTATTGAAAAGATTTTGTTGCAACTTTCGACCAGTGTATAAATTATCATTGAGCGATATTTGATTCGAAAACTTTGCTGGGACATTGAATACCACTTGCAATTTTGCGAGATCAGCTCCATGTGATTAAGATCTAAATATTTTTTCATAAACGCAGAATATTGCTTGTATAACTCCGAGTTTTTGATTAAGCGGCGTTCTAATGATGAAAACCTAGTGACACCAAGGTCACGAATACCTTGGTATTGGACCGTTTCATTCTTCAAGGGCAATGCAACTATATATCGACCAGTTTCATCTCGAGTGATATTGTCGACAAAACTTTTTTCGCAAGCAATATCATCAGAGGTATTGTGTGGAGTATCAGGAACAGACTCTACTTCCCAAGAAGATTTGAGAATGTTTTCTACATTAAATAAACAAAGTGAATTCGAAAGGAATACCCAGAAAGTAACAGGTGATAAAAAACGCGAGCAAAAAACGACAGCGGGAATTGAGGAATTCCAAAAAATATAAAAGCAGTTCAGCGATAGACGGAGCAATGGTATGTTGAGCGCAAGATAATTAGTTGGTCATGCGCTGTAGATACACTTCCACTTTTCAATGAAAGTACTGTTTGGCAAGAATATGAAAAAAGAGACGAAAATTCAATTTTATGTTTATGGGAAATTATAATTTCACTACTGAATTCACAAAATTATGCAGATTCGAGAGAGTCACTTTGAAATTAGCAATTTTCAGAATGAAATTCACAAATGAGCGGTTCAAAAAAATATTTTTTTTCTTTTGAATGATATAAAAAAAGTCTTATAGAAAACTCTGACTTAACAGGAATGATTCTAATCGCGGCTCGAAGGACCATGTAACGGAACGGTAATAGGAACAGTAGGGACTGTATACCATTATGATACTTAACAAAATGTTAAATTAAATCCCTCAAAGACGACTTACCTTGAGTGGATTGCGGCTGTCTCATCAGAGTCCTGAGATTGGTACCAGTTCTTGGAATCGAAGCTAATCCGTGTATCAAGAAGCACGATATTATGCGGTGTGATAAACATAAATATTAACAGCAAAAAACGAATAATTCACAGTTGAACTGGGCAGTCGAAAATGGCGGACACTTTACCACATAGAAAACTAATGCAACAACAACAATGTTCGTCCCTTTTCATCGCTCCAACACACCACAGAGGGCGCAATCATATTGAAGTCGTTTTGAGGGTACAGGGTGAGGCAAAATTAAGAAAATAAAAATGAGTATGTTAGCCGTTCCGCAACAATGATAATGAATGAAAAATTGGATTGAAGAAAAAAAAACATGTTGTCAATGTGTACAGAGTGTGTCAAAATGCGGCATTAAACAAACATGACATTTTAACGGGGCTCTATCGTTTCAACGTGTGATTCTTCGGAGTGTACGGGGTGTCTCATTTAAGAAAAAACGTGTCAGGGGGCCTAACGTTTTAGCGTGCGATCCCAATTGGAATCGTTTTAAAATGGGGCAGTGGGGGTATTCAGCAATGACATTTCAAAATACGTCATATGCGTTTTTTTTTATTTTCTGTGTTAGTGACGTCAATGTATACAGGGTGTCTCAAAATACGTGAGCGTTGTTGAATTATAAAAATAATGGCTACCAGAATCAAAGAAAAAAACATGGTTGCCATTGAGATATACAGGGTGTCTCATCGTTTGAAAAAAACATGACGTCAATGTGTACAGGATGTCCTGAAATGCGTCATTGAAAAACATGACAGTTTAACGGGGCTGTATCGTTCTAACGTGTGATTCTTAAAAGTGTACAGGATGTCTCAAATACGTCATTCAAGAAAACATGACAGTTCAACAGGATGTCTCAAAATACGTAATTTAATGAAAAACTTCGTTTCTGGCTCAAAATACAATGCTTTTTCGTATGGAGCTTAAGTTTAGTCATTTTCAGACCCCGTAGCGAAACTTTGTGGAATACTCAACTCGAGGTAGATGTGACGTGTGTGAGAGTTATACAAGATGCAATATATATGTTTATATGAAGAATAAGTGTATATGAAGTCAGCGAGGAGTAGAGAAAAAACAAAGATTGCATTCAAAAGGGCCCTGAACCACATTTTTGTTAATAATAATAGCACCGTCATGTACAGCGCGTCAAATGGAAGGAGGAGAAATGCAGAATACATCGACAGGGGAAAAACAAAGATTCAGGAGGGATTAACCAGATAAAGGTGAACATAACAGAAAAATGTATATAGGATGTTGTTTGAGAAAGGAATGTGATAACGAGGATCTGGGAGGATATAATACGATGAAACGTTCAGTTTTGTTTCGAAAACGCATTGAAAATTCCGCAAAATTTCGATGCGTTAAATGAGACAGTTCTGTCATTTGAATCGCATCGAAAAAAATGCATTTTCAAAACCCTCATTTCTTCTAAAAACCCATATGATTTGCATTGTATCGCGTCACGGAAAATGATGCAAAAATGACATGAGAATCGCTATAAAAAATGTCAAAAATTTTTGGCGATGAAACGTTCATTTATGCCGCGAATATCGCATGAAATATTTCGCAAAATCTTAATGCGTTGAAACAATCAATTCAGGCACTCCAATCGCTTCGAAAAAACATTATTTCTGCCACACATTTTCCAAACAAAAAAATTGTAAACGCATATACACAGTAACTCAATGCTTCAAAAGGAGTCTCAAACGAATAACGCATGATAGAAAGATACAAAATCGTTCATGATATGAACTAGAACCGAATACGTTCATTTATGCCGCGAATATCACATGGAAAATTTCACATTTCAATGCGTTCAGGCACTCCAATCGTTTCAAAAAAACGCTGTATCTGCTACACATTTTCCGAACAAAAAAAAATATTTAAACGCCTATACAGAAAGACTAAGTGCTTTAAAATTCGTCTCGAACAAATAACGCATGACAGAAAAATCGAATATCGTTTAAGATATGAACAAGAACCGATTTTTCTGATGGAATAATTATAGAATGTAATTGAGAACAATGGAATAACGAATGCGCTGGTACGTCAGTCATATAAAAATCAATTGCAATTTCGTCATCGCTTCCTAATTGAATTGGTTTTTATTGATACCAAGGAAACCTAATGGAAGATTTTTTGCCGCTATGTCTCAATCTGAGCAACATTTCGAAATTGGAAACTTTCGGAACAGTTGAATAATTTACATATTCAAGACAGAGTTCTCGATCGAAAAGTGCCTCAAACGAGATATCCGCTGCGGAAAATCCAACCTCACAGCGTAGCCTATGCTGATAATGAGTTTTATGCTTTCAACTGAAATAATAAATGAAGTTTTGTATATGAACGTACCAAAGGGCGATGAATTTATAGTAATATGTGTGAAACCCAATAATTTCGATCATGGATGCAATAGAACACAATGAAAGTTAATAAGTTCAACATTTGTCAATGACGAACAGTGGGCAGTTTTTGCAATCAAAATTTCAAAGAATACTGTTTCCAAATATAAACTGTGTCTGATATTCCAATATCTTCGAGAAGTAGAAACAAAAAGTATTGAATATGTTCCAGAACTCGCAAGGATAACGAAAGAGAAGTCACAAATGGAATTTGGCCTTTATATAATTTTCATTATAGTATCTAGAATATTAGCATTTGTTTGAGTAGCACTGTATAATTATGAAATTTAATTAAAAAAAGTTGAATATTCACGAATATTCAAGTCGGTCATGAAATATGATATGAGGGAGTGAATATCATAGGAGACGGATATCATTCGAATGAGAACGGCTGTAGGTTTGAATTTACTGAAACAATAGAAATATTGTATAGCGTGAAATCATAGGAAAATGTATATAGGATGTCGTTTGGAAGAAAAAAGGTGGAAACGAGCCTCTAGCGTTTCAACATGCAATCTCCTTCGTTTACAGTGTGACTTATTTGAAGCGTACAATCATTTTGTCATTTATGGTGTATTGGTAGTCAAGTTGACTTTGATTACCGATTCAACTTGAGAAAAAACAATGGCCGCCTGTCGTTTGTCATTTATCATGTCTCGACGCGTGTTTGAAACTCACATCAATAAATTTCACAACATCTCAATGCGTTCAGGCACTCCAATCGCTTTGAAAAAACGCTATATTTGCTGCATATTTTCCGAACAAAAAAAAAATATATCCATTACCTATGTATATTTGATAGGCTCAAAATAGTGGCTTTGGTCAGTTAGCATCATCAGGAGATGCCTAAGATCAAAAAATGTCGGATGTGTGTAAACATAAC